GTTGAGGATTTAAGCAAAATTAAATAAACTTTGTGATTGTACGGTAGTGAAACATCAGTGCCAATACTAGTGCTGCTGTCTATGATGATGATGATGTCCCAGCGCGATTATTTTGGTGAGAAACACCGGAGTCAATTTTTCATATCATTCACCATGCCGCGTTTTTGAACCCGGGATAGCTTATATGCAAAGCGAGCGCGTTATCACTACTCCACCAGTACACGAAGAAGGCACCTGAGTTATCCCAACCGAATATGTTCATGCTTGCGCGATGACTCTCCGATAACTGTCCTAACTGTGCCGATCGATTGACCCACCTGCCATGACTTCCCGGTTCAGATATTACTGTGGTTTTCGCAGGAATGTCGTTGAACTTGTCATTGATCAGGTTTAACTAAGTGGATTTCTTGGATTGGAATCAAGACACATGAACAACAGCGAAAGTCTGCTGATAACAGCGTTCCTGTGAAGCGCTGGTGTCCCAAACAACCGGAACAATTTGGCCACGCTGTGCTTCTCACATGGCCAATCTCAAAAGCAAATAGGCCACATCACCACTGGCGATAGACGGTGTGGATTGGTCACTCATTACCGCTCGTTCCGAAACACCCTGTCAATTGCTGCTTTTCAGTGGGTCCCAAAAGTGGCACGCACCTAGCCCAGCCATTACGAATCTCGTGGGCCTAACGTGGAGCAAACTTTCCAAAACTACCTACTGAGATCCCTTCGAATTTTACTGGAAAATGCTATCTGCGGTCTGATAAGATGCTTGATGTTCTGCTGTGGAAGGCTCCAGACAATTACGCCTGGAAACGAGGTCCCAAGCGAAGCCATAAACTTGCAAGAAGCTTAGACCCATATTTCTGCTGGTGCAGTACAACCTACCAAATTGCCAGATGGTAAGCGAAAAAGAGCGTCTGCGCGGACCGAGAGAGCAACTATGGTTGGTGCGTGCAAGAGGTTCATACAGGTCTGTATTGAGCGAAACAACCAAGTACAAAACTGGTTCAGGCGTCTCCGAAACCGGACGCCTAGATCGTTGGGTTGAAAACTTTTAAAGGCAACCCAACCGACCACCTGCTGCTGGATAGTCGAATTTGCTACCCGCAACAAAGACGTGAGCAATGAACTGGCGTTTTCGCTGTCAGCTTTTATCCAGATTGCCTGGATGAGCGTCTGGAGGTGTACGCACCTCGGAATAATTGTAGTAAGCTGACACCAAGTCCACTCCCAGTCCACCCTTACTCTTTTCCTCACAACAAGTCTTTCGAATAAATAATGGTTGTACGGAAGCGAAAGGTCGGTATTGAACGCTGATGTCATGCTGCCGATGATGATAAGGAGCGACAAACATGGAAAGTCCGGTGGCTCCCAAAATTCGTGGGTATTTTTTTCCTTTAGGATCAACCGAGCTGCTGGTCCCACAAAGTTTAAAGCGCTCTGCTCAAAGTTGCAGGCGGAATCCTGAGCGAGTGCTTTCCCAACTATTTTGTCTCAGAGTATGAAACTTTTCTGACCAACTATGGCACCCATTATTAAAACAGATGCTCACATCCAATAGCAGTTAGGGGAATTAGCTTGATCCCTGTTCTAACTAGTCTTAGCATCACCTAACATGTCGTGCTAGAACGCGTGAATAGGTGACACGAAAACAGAAAGGATTCTGGCCAGGAAGAAGGTTGTGTAGACCAAGTCTTTACACTCCGCCAAGTATATGATCTTGGTAATTCCGTTTGTGCAAAAGTATGCCGCAGAGATTTCCTTAGAATTATGCGCTTATCGTATTCACGTATTTATGAGCGCATGTGTGTGGGCTTTGCTCGGGAATTATATCTATGAACAGTAGCACCCGACACAGGTTTTCACTTATTCCATTTTTTGCTTTCTTCCGAAAGAGATGAATCAATTCTGGCTCAAGAGTCTATGAAACTCCGGTATTCAAGTCTCTCCGAGCAAGAACCTTATCGAGTTGGAATATGCAGACAATTGTTCTCAGCGTCTAAAAAGGAGAACTGCATGCATCACTAGAGAACCTGACCAAGGTTACTCAATCCTTTGGCCCACAAAAAGTGCAAAGCCGTCCTGCGGAATGTACGGATATAAAAGAAACAATGAAAATTGTGGGGCGCTAGGCGTGTTCCGAAAGTTGTATGAGCTTTAACGGGAACCAAACGGACGACGGCCAACACGCAAACCTCAAGGATCAGAACCGCTTTTGCCAATTTGTACCAGTTATGGCATCAGAAAGGCAAACCAATGGGTTTCAAGGGACGCGTGTATCAGATGACAGTGTACGCTGTAGAGTTGCGCGACTGCAAGACTTGGCCACAGTGGGCGGGGAGGGGGCTGGAACATACTTAGCTCCTTGACCACCAGTGTTCTAGAACTACAGTTGGTATCAGTGGATTTGCAATGCAGTAATCAAGGAACGGGTTTGGTGTGTAATTTAAAAAAGCATCGAGTACTGCAGGATAAGCTAGTGTTGTTAACTACGCCGAGTTAGGAGGCAAAAACATATAGGTGGAGAGGATATGACATGGAAGAAGGGGGAGGCTGCGAAAGACCTGAGTACTGCCCGTGACGTCGTCACCCCTGTGCTCTACTTGAGTTTGGAAGATATGGCGTTAAACCTATGTCAGTGGAGTTCATACAAAGAACTTAGCATGTTCACAAACTTTCATGGCATTATTTGCTGGGCAAATGTGTTGAGGAGAAAAAAATCGTTCGGCTGTAGCACCCTTTCCATGCCACCAGAAGAAAGGACGAGGGCTAGGATATTCTCAGGTTGCCCAAGCCTAAACAGGGGAAGTCGGGAGGTAGAGGTCGGGTTCGAACCAAGACCTTCCGGTCAGTAAATTCGCGCTCTAACCAATGAGACATCTCGCCCCCTTAGGGGGATCCAGCTTGCTTTTCCCGAAGCACCATAAGGAGACAAAGGATAAGTGATGATAAAAGTCTCGTTACAATTGGGGTCAAGCTGACCTCCCTGTGATGATCGCACTCACTACGAGCTCTGTTTTGAAAATAGGCATCATCACTGATTCTCTCTACTGCTCACCTTCCAGGTGAGACAAGTATTGACTGAGAACTTCACCTCTATCTTTGAACAAGGCGGGTAGGAGGTCATCATGACCAGGATATCGGTGGTGCTTGAGAGAATATATGCAATCATAAGTCTCCATGGTCACCGTCCAGAGTTCTACGTCAGCTGTGGACTCAAAATGAGTGGCAGCTGGTGGTCACGATAGCTGTTACGCGAAGTTGCGGCCCACCGGTCAAGGCGCTCTTCTTTATCGACGATGTTCGTCCCATTCTGATCCTTGATGGTTTTGCTCACTGGAGGTTTCTGCGGTTCAGTCGTATGGAACAATTGAAATAATCTTCTGGGATTACCGGCTTTCTGGGCCTCTTTCATTTCCTTGGCTTTACGTGTCTAACAGTGGCTCGCACGCCCAATTTCACTTGACGCCTGATGTGTGGGGTCAAGTTACGTTCGAGACCGGTGGGAACCTTTCTGAGATCCACACATTGCTATTGTTCGGTCTGATATCCAGTGCTTCAGCGAAACTGGTAGCACCGAGCCACATGCAAAGTCCCAGTACTATGCAGAGGTAGCGGTTCCGTCCCAGCCAGACGAACTGCACAAAGACGACTATCAACGGGTATCCAGTCCAACCAGGACCATTCCACCCGGTGACTTAAAACGATACCAACCCCTGCACGGAAGTGAGGTTGCTCCGTGGTTATAGCGCAAGTTTACTGACCGGAAGGTCTATGGTTCGAACCCGACGCCTGCAGACTTCTGTCTTGGGTTGGGCAACCTGCCAGTATCCAGCCCTCGTACTTCCCTATGGTGTCATGACAGCTAGGCACCGAAAATGTCACGAGTGAACTTTTCTTACCCCTGCACATCCTGCTGCAGCAGTCTCTGGATCGCCAGAGGTATGCAGCCGGAAGCGAGTGGAGAACAGTTAAATCAACTGCTGCGCTTACACCGTGAGTTCCTGTTTATGCTACACAATACACATCAATGTCAAGTGATTCCAGTATGAGCACAAACACCTTGTTGGCCCGCTTGCTTCATAGTTCAAACGCTGAAAGTAGCCTGAAAATTGATTTCGAGATGCCCGAGGATGGCAGCGCCCGACGGTGCGCAGACAATACTTGCGAAACTGAAGGGGAACGAAGAGAGTCGTCAGTCTAAATTGAAGGGTCTACATGGAGAGTCATTATTGGGATGGCAGGAGGGGGAGAAAAAAGTACGTGAAAGAGAAAGAAGGGTATTTGCACATATCGCTTACTTACTGCTTGCGGAAAAGCACTTTCCTGCACGTGTATTTGAGTTGAAGGGTTAATAGGAAATGGAGAAATCCACAATCCCCTGTACCTATTGCTTCCTAATTCAGGCCTGTCAAGTCCATGACAGAAGCTTTATTAATTTTGAGACCCATTTATCTACATTTATCTACATAGGACAACCTTTGGCTAACTACCACTGAGTGTCAATGCTGTATCTCGCAAACTGCGCTGCGTCTCCTCCCCATTCAAAAGCCCAAATCAAGTAAGATACGATCTCGTAATTTTCGTGAAGAACACACTTACGATGTGATCGTGCTCATCGCAATACGCCAGGGGCACCAACAGTAGCAGTAAAATCACCGGCGACATTGCCAGTAGACTAGGCGGACCACGTTCTGCTGTAAGCAGACAATCGCCGAAATCGGACCGGCGACATTGCCAGTAGACTAGGCGGATCACGCTCTGCTGCAAGCAATCGCCGAAATCGACGGCGCCAAAAACTCGGTTCAAGGTCACGGGCTACTTGATCAGTCTCCCTGTGGCTTGCCGTGTTGCTCTCTCCGGTAGTAGGAAACATTGTGTATTCCAATCCCATATGGACGGCGATCACCTGGATGTGGAGACAGGTTATCACGGAATAAGTTTTATTAACGCCTTAGAAAGTGCTCAAGGTTAGAAAATTTGCTTGCCACCCTCAACAATTCCACTGCTGTCGGTGTCGCTGTGTATGCGCTTAGGAGCGTGACGGTTTGTACCTTTATTCCGCTTTCATTAAAACACTACGTTTTTCGTCAATTGCATAACCGGTTTTTGTTAGAATACGAAAAAGTACACTCGTACAAACTGCACTTGTACAAAAATTCACGCAATACAAACGTGGTCACGTGCTTCGACTCTCTCTTCTGATTTTGCTCGCACTTGAAGCATTCGTTCGCGAGTCTCATGTGCTAAATCTGGTAGCAAAGCATTTCGGACCATCTTCGGAATCTACGATATGTGGGGACTGTTCAGAAGAAGACCTCTGGACCACCGTAATTGGGTCATTGTTTATTCGCTGACCTGGACCAACGACGAACTATTTTAAAGAGAACAATTCGTAGTGAGTGTGTTCCATCTGACTTCTTTATTGTTGTATACCCAACCTAGCGTTATTATTTTCATTTCATTGCCACGCACCCCTGGTAAAGTAACTTAGTGGGTAGCCAGACCACTACAATCTACCCAAATTCACACTGGAGACTGGTGAAGCATGCTCTGAGCTGCCGATTCTATGATCTTTATGTCGATCAGGTAGGGCAACGATGTCCTATAATTTCACGTCTGGATATCTAGTTACGCAGTTCTCAATGTGAATTGAGAAGTCTAATATTTGGCGTACCGGCAGAATCTACGTCGGTTCTATTAACGTCGAATGACACAAATGCGGCTTCCCTGTTCCCTACCTCCCTCCTATTATAAGACTTTATTCAAGCTATACAGTTCGGAGCGAGGAAGTGAAGACTTATGCGTTGGAAAATTGAAGCCGTGCCCAATGGTTAATGCCTAATTTTTGACATAATGACGTAGCTGGTCTAAACCGGTGGTGACCCCTTCCGCTGATCAGACGTGTGAGTTGCAGACGAAGGTCCAGTGCAAGTGTGCTCGACGATATGCACTTCATCACAATGTGAGCCGGGAGAGGCTTGGGGCTTTGCTACCCTAAAGACATCTTGTCGCAAGGTAATACATAGCGATAGCTGTGCTTTTGGTGGACGATAAGCAAAGACTTGACAGTATGCATTATAAGATGTTGAATACCAGATATAGCCAGAACAAGTCTAAGCTTCTAGGGATATGCAAACAGACTTCCTGCGCTTGGTTACTGGTTGCACTGGGCTTAAAACGTTAAGCCCTTTAGAAACACTAGAAGTTTCGTGATCTTACTACATCTACCTATTCAGTGAACCGTGAAAATTTTTAGGCGTAACAGGCATACAGGTATGTGTAGTTGAGATTTATTGAGCACTTGCCATTCGTTCCTTGTTCTCATCTCATCCGATATGCATGAGTGGCAACTTAAGCACGCATGTCTCTTCCATCGTTCAAGTTCGGTGCGGATTCTTGAGGTTCTTTAATTTTCAGTCCGTGCCAACAGAAATGGATCAAACTGGAGGATAATATCTTCTTGTTCCTGAGTTCTGAATCGTGGTAAAGGTTTTACATTTGGCATAGCAATGAGGAGGATTCCTGGGGTCATATATCCGACCGACTCCGTTTCGGCTTGTTAAGTACGTGCCCCAAAGGCACGCGTGAAAGATCATAGTGTATCAAGGGACATGGCCCCAGTAATCCTTCCACTTGCTATGCCAAATTAAAAACCTTCAACGTGATTCATAACTCAAGAACAAGAGGGTTTGACCCTTATGGAAAGCCGCTCAGTAGTAGCACAATGAAACTGATTTCTCGAAATCTACGCAGTTTTCACGCTTGCCACTTCATAGTGTAGAATGTTTCTGAAAAGTGTATATATTGAGGTAATATTGCAAATCATATACGCTAGTGATTTGTTTAAGTGAGCCAAGATTCAAGGCCAATAAACATCACTGCCTGTGAGTATGCTGCCTAATGTAATAAGAAGTCGAGAATTGTGGACAAAAGTGACTAACATTGGACGGAGCTTTCATATGGTTTTCAAGCTGAAATATTTCTTTGAACATTCTGGAATCTACGTGACCCTTGTAGACGCAAATTATGCGGAAATGCTAGTTCTGCAAACAATGTTTTTTGGATCATTGCTGATACCAGTTAAAATTGCGTAGTCCATATACATTATTAGCGAAAAATCCCGCAATTTTGTTGTTAAACAGCAGAGTGTCCTGTTATAGCTTGCGGATTCGGCTGGGAAGATCTTAACGTTGATCGGAGGAAGATATAAGTTGAGATACCGAAATGTCGCCACGAGAAAAGCGGCTGACAAACTTGGAGGAATATTAATTCTACAATGGGGGCTCTTCAGCGGAAATAATGCCGTAAACGCTTGTTCACAAGATACCATCTTTAAAAACTATGTGTAACGGTCTAACGGTATCTTCGAGTGACGCGTAATACCAGAACCTCCGGGTAGGCAAAACAAAGTCGGAGCTGGGTTTCTATACGGTACTATTAGGGTAAGAGAAATTCACAATTTGTACAAACCTCGACAGTAGATACGCGTCCAAAACAAACAGTCCGCTTGGAC